ACGGCCACAGTGCGCCAGACCAAAGGTGCATCCAGCCCGGTGTCCTGTCTGCCCACAGTGCCCAGTGCCAGGAGCCCCAGAGGGAGGGAACAGAACACGAATTATCACATGATCCCTCCCGTCACCTATTCCCAGCCTCTGTCAAACAGAGGCTGGAGACACCATCCCTACCCATCCTGGCCAATAAGTATTGATGGACCTAACCTGCGGGAGTGTATCTAGCTCTTCTTGAACCCTGCTAATGTCCTGGTCTTCTCAACCTCCTCCGGCAATCCCTACGACCTGTACGTGTATTGCACTCAGAGCGACGGTGGCTTGTGCTCACCATGCACAGGAGTCAGCGATGGGATGGGGCGAGGTCTCAGGGCAGGGCAGAGCCAATGCCCAAGCGAAAGTGGCTACCAGTCATTAGGATGGGTCATCGCAAGTCTGAGTGTCCAACGGCAGCACTCCGGGAGCGAGGTGGCGACTGGTTCCCATCGCCCTGCACCAACCCTTCTAACCATCCCTGTCTAGAGTCGCCGTGGGAACCTGCAGGCGGGGCCTTTCCAGAAGGGAAGGCGACGCTGTTATTATGGCGTTCCACTGGGGTAATTACAGAGGGGAGAGAAGACAAGGCGTGCGCAGGGCCGGCGCCAAGCCACGGCGCTCCCTTGCTCTCAGGGGAGTCAGGGCGTCACAGAAAGGAGCTGCTGTCGCCGTGACGGTCACAGGAGAGGGGAGGGCCAGGGCGGGGGATGGTCATACTTTTTACTGGCCCGGCTTCCAGATTGTCCAGTTGGAGAACTTCCCTCCCCCATCGTGTCTCTCCCAGGACACGGGAGTAACCCCCCGCCAGGGAGTGAGGCAAGCCTTTATGGACAGTCTCGTGGAGGGCAACGGCCTTGGCTTCCGTCGGGAAGAAGGGGCGTCCATGGGCAGTGGGTGACGGCCCAGTTGGGGAAGGCAGTCAAAGCCCCGCCCCTTCTGACCAAAGCCACACCCCTTCCCCTGAGACCACGCCCCTTCACAACTTTCCCCCCAACCCACCTTAGTTGAGGATGTGGCTCAGGCCCTACCCGGGCAACTCAGGAACCCGACTTCCAGATTGTCCAGTTGGAGAACTTCCCTCCCCTATCGTGTCTCTCCCAGGACACGGGAGTAACCACCCGCCAGGGAGTGAGGCAAGCCTTTATGGACAGTCTCGTGGAGGTCAACGGCCTTGGCTTCCGTCGGGAAGAAGGTGCGTCCATGGGCAGTGGGTGACGGCACAGTTGGGGAAGGCAGTCAAAGCCCCGCCCCTTCTGACCAAAGCCACACCCCTTCCCCTGAGACCACGCCCCTTCACAATTTTCCCCCCAACCCACCTTAGTTGAGGATGTGGCTCAGGCCCTACCCGGGCAACTCAGGAAGTTCTGGAAAGGCAATGCCTTCCCTTGCCTACGTGACCCATCGCCCTTGGGTGCATCCTTATCTGCAACTAGAGCTGTGAGGAGCTAGCGTTGAGCTAGCTAGCGCCACTAGCAATAGCAGCAGAGGCGCGGCAGCAAGGGCTGGGCCCTGGAGCAGTTACCCAGGTCCCCAAGCCTTGTTATCCAGCCCTTGCTGCTGCTGTGAATCACACCAAAGCTTTGGGGACGTTCTCTAGGCAGGAACTCGACTGGCAGCTCACAGCAGTCCCTTCTGGCCTGGGAATCAGTGAGTCTATTAAAGCTAGGGCGGGCTGGGAAAGACGTGTGGAAATCACACCTCTCACCTCAGCGCAGACACGCCCAGGGTAACACCCTGGTGAAGACTGAAGTTGACACAAGTGAGCTGGTCTGGGTGGACCCTTGGCTCTCCCATCATCCTGGACGTGGCCCGCTCGCTCCTGGGAAAACTCTAAAGTGCTCCGGTCTCCATTGGGATCATAGAATCATGGAACACTAGAACTGGAAGGGACCTTGCGAGGTCATCAAGTCCAGTCCCCTGCCCTCACGGCAGGACCAAGCGCTAGACCATCCCTGACAGGTGTCTGTCCAACCTGCTCTTAAATATCTCCAGGGATGGAGATTCCACAACCTCCCTGGGCAATGTATTCCAGTGTTTAACCACCCTGACAGGTAGGAAGTTTTTTCTAATGTCCAACCTCAACCTCCCTTGCTGCAATTTAAGCCCATTGCTGCTTGTCCTTGTCCAGGTAAGAGCTAGCTAGTGAAGAAGCACCCATAGGGCTCCTCCCGGGTGTAACCTCACACCCTTATGCCCTTGTTTGGAAGGGTCAGGGTCATGTTAGCGAAGTGTCAGAAGGAATCGGTTCTCGCTCATCAGAAGGACATGGGAATGGGTTCTATTTTAAACACCGGTGGTTGCTGCGGTGCTGCCGAAGAGCTGAATAAAGCTTTGCTTGTACTGTTGATCGTGCTCACAACAGGAGGTTTTCGACTGATTTCAACGGGAGCAGGATCCGGTCCCCAGAGAACCCTTCCTGCACAGGAATCCCATCGGACTAAGGACTCGGCTACATTTTGTCCCCAGTTGGCAGAAGTGTGGTCAGCAGCTCTGGTCATTTCTGGCTCAGAAGTGGAGTTGTGGGGTTAGCCAGAGGGGCTGTTTACGGCAGTGTTCTCCCTCCCACATGAAAAGTTCAGGGTGGAAATATTTTGCATAACGGGAAAAATCTTGGAAAGTATCAACCTTCAGCAAACCAACACGACTTCCTTTGTCAGCCGGTCACATAGGTGGGTCCGCTCCCCTCCAAGTGATCAGAGGCTGGGACTGCAGGCATTTCACTCTCTCTTCCAGACAAATCTCTCTCCCGCCCTCAGCCCGTAGAACTCAGTGCAAGACCTCCTGTATGACGCACAGTCATTGAGGGGTGTGAAAACCTCACACCCGCCATCAGCCCTGGGGTAGCTGTGGCTAGGTTAAGGGAAGACTCCTCCATCCACCTGGCTAACACCACTCAGGGAGGCAGATCCTACGGTGACAGAAAAACGCTATTCCTTGATACAGCCATTGCGGGCTTGTCTCCACTTCAAAAGTTAGGGCAACACAGCTATGTCAGTAAGAAATGTACACTCCAACTGACACAGGTTAGTAGAGTCAACTCTCAGTGTAGACGCGGCTATGTCAGTAAAGCTACACCCCAGCCGACACAGGTTAGTACAGTCGACTCTCAGTGTAGACGTGGCTATGTCAGTAAAGCTACACCCCAACCGACACAGGTTAGCGCAGCTAACTCTCAGGGTAGACTCAGGGGGTACAGCACTTTACAGGGGGTACTCAGCATCTGCTGACACAGCCCCCAATGGAGGGGTTACACTAGGCACAAGGATGTGACCACAAGTGACAGGAGTAAGAAACCGTCTCCATCGGAAGGTTCCCAGCAGCTCACGCCCCTCTCTGCCACCCCGTGAGCTCAGGCTGTTTACTGAAAGGAATTTTTAACTAACAGAATTTTCTGATCACAGTTACAAGGACTCTAGGGCAGGGATCTGATTTTCAGCCACCTTGGTGTAAATCCAGACTAACGGGGCTGCTTTAGATTTACAGCTTGGCAGGATACAGCTGCCCCCTACGACATTATCTCAGGGAACTGGCAGTATTCTGCGATGCAGGGCGTTTTTGAAGCTCCTTTTCCTGGATTGCTAGACACAGGAAACTCCCTGCATGAAGAACACTGTCAACAACAGAAAACCTTGGGCAGAGTCTTCCAGATCGTCACATTCCTACCTCCCCCACCTCTGCTCCTCACTCCTTCCATCTGGCTGAATTTTGCTGCCCTTTCCAGACAAGGCAGCTGTTTCCCCAAGTGCCGATCTCCCTGTTCCTGGTGTGTTTCACTCGTGGCACTCAAAGGCCTCATTCACTACTGACAGCTTTTCCACCTGCAGCATCTGACCCCTTCGTCAAAGTCAGGGACACAGGTCCCGTTGTATCAGTGTAACCCACACACCTAGGCTGCATCTAGACTGGCATGTTTTTCCGCAAAAGCAGCTGCTTTTGCGGAAAAACTTGCCAGCTGTCTACACTGGCCGCTTGAATTTCCGCAAGAACACTGACGATCTCATGTAAGAAATCAGTGCTTCTTGCGGAAATACTATGCTACTCCCATTCAGGCAAAAGTCCTTTTGCACAAAAGCTTTTGTGTAAAAGAGCCAGTGTAGACAGCTCAGATTTGTTTTGTGCAAAAAAGCCCTGAACGCGAAAATGGCAATCAGGGCTTTTTTGCGCAAAAGCGCATCTAGATTGTCACGGAAGCTTTTCCTCAAAAAGTACTTCTGCGGAAAAGCATCCGTGCCAATCTAGACACTCTTTTCCGCAAATGCTTTTAATGGACA